TCCAGGGCTAGAGTTCAGACTATGATGTATACTTTACTATACTACTTCTCTAAGTATTTTCCAATAAAACCTTATGTTATATCTGCACTATAAGGTACAGGGAATCCCAAAGCTATGGTTTTCAACCAGGTATTATAATTCATCTATAGCCTTCCCAAACCAGGTACAGTTTTCCAAATGGGGTCTTTTTTAAAAGTAAGGAATGGAGCCTGATTACACCACTGACATTCCACCTTTAATCAAGTTTTCTAGGAAAGCAGTACAGCAGACGGTTAACCTGCAGTAACTTCCCCAATGAGGAAGGAGAAAGGGTTTTGTTGCCATTTACTCACAGTTCACTCACATATCCTTGGATTAGTATTTTTGACCACCAGGAAATTGTATTACCAAATGGGACACTGGTGTTTTCTCCAATTCCTAACCAAATGACCTATTTTTTTTTTTTTTAGATAAAAACTTATTGTGGGTCTTATAAAAATGAGTCATCTTGGAAATCATAAGCAAGTTTAAAACAACACAGGACTGTGTTAGCACTAAATTTGGTATCATTTTTTATCCCTTTTAGAAACAACTGTTTTTTTTTTTTATCCAGAGTTTTATTCAGTCACAATGGAACAAGGTTCTGATTATATCCTCCCAGCTTGAGTTTTTAAAGACCCCGGCTATTTTCCTTCATAGTGTTGAAAACAGCCTAGCTTTACTTTTTTTTTTTTGTTTTTGTCCCTGAGATCACAATGATTGTCTCTAGATGGCAGCAGAGGACACTGGTTAGAATTCAGTTTGGCATTAAATCAACAGGATCAATTGCAGTGGCCTTTGTCAGAGCTCCCAAACAAATAGTGCATGTGAGCCTCCACGAAGGCCTCACCTTGTGGCTGGTTTGAACATTAACTTGCTGTGACAGCCTCTGCCTTGACCTTGTGGGCATACCCACAGGGGTGTGCAGATTCTTCTCCTCCCCCCCTCGTATGAGCTCATATTGCACTTCCTCATGAAAACCTGAGCCCTGGTGCATTCTCAATCAACCCAATCGCTCCACCCCTTTTGTTCATAATAATCCCACTCACAAACAACTCTGTGGGTTCCACTGCCTACCTTTTGTCCATCAAACAGTGACTGATTTGGCCTCTATCTACTGCAGCCAGGGTTTCTGTATAACCAGTGCCTCCACAAATGGCATTTGACCAAATGCATCAGGAGCACCAAAGTGGAATCATTTTGTCAGCCCAGCTTCAACTGGGTTTCTGGCTGTGATGTGTTAGGTGACTAGGTTCTGGGGTGGGTGGTGGGGTCCTGATTTGTACTGTTCACTGATTTCCATGGTAAAGCTCTCAACCATGGCCAATTTCAAGCTACTGTGATGTATGAGGAACTGGGAAGAGATGCATGCCCACAATCAGCTTCCGTGAGCTGGTGTGAGCCAGCTCTAAATGGCTTGGTTTTTGCTCAGGTCCACTATATGGTTGATGAGAGGAATGGGCACTTCTCCTCTCAATGCAAATTTACTCGCTTCAGTCTTCATCTTCCCTCTCAAGGTAGATAGATAGTTTCATTCACTTGCAACTCAGGACCGGGACTGGGGTGAGGCAAACGAGGTGCCTATGAATGCAAAATTTAAAAAGGCACTCACTCTTAGAATCATGCAAGTTTGCAGATGGTATAAGTATATGACCCTAAAAGTAAGGGCCTTCCTTAAATTCTGTGCCCCAGGCGTCTCAATGGCCACAACGCTTCTGTCATTAAATCATAAGTGGATCAGTCCCCACCTCGGCATGGTGTCTCATCAGCACTTTCCTACTTACCTACCTGTACTTTTTAATCTCATAGTGCCTTGGCCACAATTGTGAGTCAAGGTCTAAAAGTCTACCCAATTCTGAGGCCCTACTGCAATACTCACCCTGCTTGATCAGCAGCCCTGGTTTTGGGTTCAGCCAGACAGGCACACTCATAAGACCCAAAAAGGCTCTCCTCTCACTAGTTTACTCAGTTTTACAGAAGAATGCAAGGCAAGAAACATAACACACTATTTACCAGCAGGGCAGCATCAGATAACATCCCTTCAACACAAGTCCTCACAGCAATCTAGGCCTGTTCTTTTGGCTCCCAAAATGATGGCTTGGGTACAAGGAAACAAGTTTACACAGGTGGGTGTAGGAACCATCCTAGCTTAGTAGCCTCATTCCACATAAAGACAATATCTCTTATGCCAGTCCATGAGTATAGTTTCAGGACTCAGCAAGAAAAACACCTGCATATGTCACACCGCATTCGGGAATGCCCAAAGCTATGGCTTCCCCCAAATGTTTACAGTTTATTCAAAACCCTCCCAGCTCAGATGCATTTTACCACTCAAGGGCTATGTTTACCATTAGGCAGTGTTATACGGTTACACAGTGGTCATTTCACCTTCAGTAGATTACAGAGAAACAGTGTTAGAAGATCAACAGGAGGCCATTTTCACAGGAGGAAGGAGAAAGGGTTTTATTAATCTTTCACTCAGACACCAAGCCACAACATCATAAAATTTCAGAATGCTGGGGATAAGGAAACATTCTAAAACCATCCAAAGATAAAAATAAGGTCTCATTCAAGGTTTTAGTAATTAGAATGGCTTCCTGCTCTTCAACAGCAGCACCAGAAACCAGAAGACAATGGAGGAATATCTCCAAAATTCCAAGGAAAATCATTTCCAAAACAGAAATACAAATCTATGCAAACTATTATTCAAGCTTACAGGTAGATTTTTCAGATGCGCAAAGTCTTAAAAATTTCCCTCAACGTCCCTTTTCTCAGAAAACTTTGAGAGAACACACACCCTTGCCAAACAAAGAAGTAATTCAAGAAAGAGGAGAAAATTCCAAGATATAGGGGATTCCTCACAGGGGAGAAACAAAAGGAAGTCTCTACAGTTGTGAGGAGAGATTTTAGGATATTCAGCAGGCCTAAAGAGTACATCACAGAGTAGTTTGATGGGGGAAATCCAGGAGTATATTCCAAAAAAAAAAAAAAAAGAGAGAGAGAGAAAGTATCTAATATGTCTGAATGTACTAAGTGGAGATTTGTATTTCTAAGGATTTGGAGGTGAATTATTGATGGGATATAAAAAACTAAGAAAACAAAAAAAAATCATACAACTAATAACCCTGGGGTAAAAAAGGTATTTAAAAAGGTATCAGTCTTGGGGTGCCTGGGTGGCTCAGTTGGTTAAGTGCCTGCCTTTGGCTCAGGTCATGATCTTAGGGTCCTGGGATGGAGCAGGTTCCCTGCTCAGTAGGGAGTCTGCTTCTCCCTCTGCCTCTTCCCTCTGCTCGTCCTCTCTCAAATAAAAAAATAAAATCTTAAAAAAAATAAATAAAAAGGTACCAGTCTTTATTACAAAGGGAGATTGGGAAGGGAGAAATGCACAAACACTGAGGAGGAGCGTAGGGTGGTGGTTATTAGATATATTTGGTTTACTGACGTGACAACTATTTCTAACTCCCTTCTCCTTGCCTCCCTATACTAGAGAGGCTGGAAAAGCTAATTACCTCATTTCCAAGCTTTTCTTCAAGTTATGGATTATCAAGTAGCTGTTCTGGTCCATGATATGTAATCAGAAATCTACTAGCAGTTTCTGGGAAAGCTTTTACTTTCCTGATTAAATACACAGATTTAGCTGCGGATACATCCCACTTCCCTTTCCTTTTGTCTTGAACATGGATTGATGCCTACAGCTACAACAGTCACATTGCAAACATCAATCAATAAACCTAACAGGGTAAGACTGGTGGAACAGAAAGACAAAAGACCGAGAATGAGTTACTGATGATGTAACTGATGAGGTTTAAAAATTTAAAAATCAAGAAATAACATGCTGAAACATATTATTAAAAAGTTTAGCTGAGGGGCGCCTGGGAGGCTCAGTCAGTTAGGCGTCTGCCTTCGGCTCAGGTCATGATCCCAGGGGCCTGGGATCGAGCCCTGCATCAGGCTCCCTGCTCTGCGGGAAGCTTGTTTCTGCCTCTCCCGCTCCCCCTGCTTGTGTTCCCTCTCTTGCTGTCTCTCTCTGTCAAATAAATAAAAATAAAATCTAAAAAACAAAACAAAACAAAACTTTAGCTGAGAGGCAACTGGGTGGCTCAGGTGGTTAGGTGTCTGCCTTCGGCTCAGGTCATGATCCCAGGGTCCCGGGATCGAGTCCCACGCTGGGCTCCCTGCTTGGTTGGGAGTCTGCTTCCCACTCTCCTCTACCTCTCACCTTGCTTGTGCTCTCACTCTCAAATAAATAAAATCTTTTTTTTTTTAAGATTTTATTTATTTATTTGACAGAGACAGAGACAGCGAGAGCAGGAACACATGCAGGGGGAGTGGGAGAGGGAGAAGCAGGCTTCCCGCTGAGCAGGGAGCCCGATGAGGGGCTCGATCCCAGGACCCTGGGATCATGACCTGAGCCGAAAGCAGATGCTTAACGACTGAGCCACCCAGGCGCCCTCAAATAAATAAAATCTTTAAAAAAAAAAAAAACTTCAGCTGAAAAATTAAAAATGAATGCCACTGAGGAGTGAAAATTGGGGATAGGGAACAGTGGGGCAGGGAGTTGCTATTTTTCATAGTAAGCCTTACAAGTAGGGTTATGGGCCAAGTACTTTGTTGTGGGGGGCTGTTCTGTGCATTTTGTTTAGCAGCGTCTTTGGCCTCTACCCATTAGATGCTACTAGTAGCAACTAGGGATGACTGTGAGAGTTAAAAATTCGTTATTACCAAATGACCCTGCAGGGCAAAATTGCCCCAGTTGAGAACCATTGCCTTATAGTATTTTATTTAACTTTCCAGAATGTTATAAATGTATTATTTTGATAAAATTAAATTATGGGGAAAAAAACTGATATGAAAGGAGCTAGAGACCATCAATGTCATTTCTCCTTTCAAACACCTGTCGGTTTCTTTCCTGACCTTTCCCTGTGCCTAAGAATCCAACTCCTTTCCTCCCAGACAAGCGCAGACAGAACAGAGACACTTACCACCTAGAAACGCACACTCATAATGGCTGCAGGTCTTGTTTGTGCTTTGAAGGATAAGGTTATTGCCGGCTCCATCCTGTGACACATTAAAAATCTCATTCAGAGGTATTAATATAATTCTTTCACTTTCTTTATCAAAAAAATTTTCTATAGCAACTCCAAAGCATGTGTGGATGGTTAACAGAATGTGTTGGTCATTAGCAGCTTGAGGTTTGGCTGAATACGCCAAGGTGAAATGGCCAAATCTGGCTTGGTTTAGCCCTCCAAATGTAAATGAGACATCCTGGCTTATACTATACACCACAGTTTTGTAACTGTCCTCACAAGGTCTTCTCAGCAACTGCAGGGCTTTTGTCAGATAAAAATGAAAAGCTTTGAACTGGAAGTCATAGATATAATCTTTTCGAGATAGGCCAGCCGTCTTCACAGCTTCATTGAACATATGGTAAAAGGGAGTCTGCTCTTGAGCTTCAGAAACATACGCCATCAGTGCTATTCCATGGTTATCTTTAAAACTCATAGGGAGAAAGATTCGAGTCTTCTGGGCTTCCCATCTGGCTTCTGCATTTTCCCACACATCCTTCAAGAGCTGATGGCTTGCTTTTTCCTCCTTGAGCAATTGGGGAACATATTTGACTTCCATTTTGTCAGCGCATTTTAGGTATTCATCATCAAATGCATTATCTGCCATGTCTAACACTTCAGCCTTCACCTTCAAAAGAAAAGGAAAAGGAAATTAATACTCTTGAAATGAGATATTTGGTGTATATCATTTTCTCTCCCTTACTGTCCCCACCCTCTCATGCCCTGCCTAGAGTCTCTCCCTTGCTTAGAACCAACTTTGGACATGATTTTTATGTAGGAAGTATATTCCACTGTTACTGATAACATTTCTCAGCTGTGATCTCTTTGTATGAAACAGTAAAGGTTAGCAATGAGAAGTATGGGAACGATTATGCCTGTAATTCACTCAACTGAACTTTATGGTGCAGAGGAAAGAGTAAGTGTGAAATTAAAGGAATGGGTAGCAGTCTTGGCTTTGAACAATATTCTTAGCTAGATTTTTTCAACCCCTTAAGACTGCTGAATGACTCTGAAATATCATGTGTGAAATACGGTACATGATAAATACATAATGGTAAATATTATTCATTTTCCTTTGAGGATTCCCCCTCCCTTGCACATGTGGTTTGGGTCGAACTGATTCTGCACCTTCGCTCCTATGATAAGTAACGATGCAGGGGTGTTTTCTTTTCTTTTTTTGAGAGAAAGAGCGTGCACACACGAGAGAGAGCATGTGAGCAGGTGGAGTGGGGAGGGGCACATGGAGAGGGAGAGAGAGAATCTTAAGCAGGCTCCACACTCAGCAGTGCAGAGCCCCATGTGGGGCTCAATCTCACAACCCTGAGATCATGACCTGAGCCGAAATCAAGAATCAGATGCTTACTACTGGGTATTTACCCCAAAGATACAAACGTATTAATCTAAAGGGGCACCTGTACCCCAATATTTATAGCAGCAATGTCCAAACTATGGAAAGAGCCCAGATGTCCATCAACAGATGAATGGTGAAGATGTGGTATATATATAAAATGGAATATTATGCAGCCATCAAAAAATGAAACCTTGCCATTTGCAATGACGTGGATGGAACTAGAGGGTATTATGCTAAGCGAAATAAGTCAATCAGAGAAAGACAATTATCATATGATCTCACTGATACGTGGAATTTGAGAAACAAGGCAGAGGATCATAGGGGAAGATAGGAAAAAAATGAAACAAGACAAAACCAGAGAGGGAGATAAACCATAAGAAACTTCATCTCAGGAAACAATCTGAGGGTTGCTAGAGGGGAAGGGGATTAGAAGGATGGGGTGGCTGGGCGATGGACACTGGGGAGGGTATGTGTTGTGGGGAGCACTGTGTATTGTGTAAGACTGATGAATCACAGACCTGTACCCCTGAAACAAATAATATATTAAATATTAATAATAATAAAAAAGAATCAGATGCTTAACTGACTGAGCCACCCAGGTGCCTAAGTGATGCGGTTTTAAAAACCAGTGCTCCTAGGGGGGAGAAAAAAAGCTTTTCCCCTCTACAACCATAAGCGCTACCCATCATATTAGCTTGGGGCAGCCAGTGGTTATCCTTTTGGTTCCATGGAGAATCCTGTCTGTAAATAAAGCCAACAAAGGAAGGCTTGCAGAGCTGAAAGGGAGAGGGAAGAGGCCCCGATGACATTAGTTAAGGCCCTGGGTCTAGCTGTACCTGAAGACTGTATTCTATTTCAGTCATAAGAATCAATAAATTCCCTATTTGCTTGAGCTAGTTTGAATTGTGTTTCTGTCACACACAACCGAAAAAGGCCTAATGTATCTTTAAATAATACATACAACATAATAAGTGGGGTTGTATAATATAATTAGCACTAGCTTGGAGCCAGACAAATCTGGGTTCAAATTCCATAACTAGATACTAATTAGATACGGGAAAGTTATTTCACATTTCTGAGCTTCAATTTTCTCATCTAAAAATGAGGATAAGGGAAATAATATCTTAACTGCAGGACTGTTGTAAAGAACTAATGATAAAATGAATATATGCAAAGCCCTTACCCACACTGCCCACCCACCTTTTAAGCCTTCAACACACTGGGGTTATTTTCATTATTTCATGATAGGAATACATGTATTATACTGTAAGCTCCTCAAGGGCAGGAAATGTGTCACATTTACCTTTTGAATTCCAAGCTTCTAGCAGAGCAACTAGCAAAATATTCAAGTGAATTAAATTAATGAAGGACAGGAAGAAAAGGCAGGCAAGGAAACCCCCCCCACCTTAAAAGAATTTTACACCACCCCCAGAAGAAGCCCTCCACCCTTTCCCACGTGATAGAGATAGATGACAAAAATGTGATTGGGTGACCTGTGCAGGGAGGGTTAATCAGATTAAAAGAGCCTGCCAACAAGCCCATAAAAACCCCTAGACTTAGAAACTCTGGGGGCCACCCTCTCGGGTCCCCTCCCTCTTCAGGAACTTTGTACTATCACTTCGCTATCACTCAATAAACTTTGCTTTGCTGCCCACCACTCTTCATCTGGTCTGCCTCTTCATTCTTTGAAGAGGCATGACCAAGAACTGCGGGCACTAAAGAAAAAGAAATCCTGTACTCTGGCCTATGGATCAAAACAAAGGACAAGCAAACCTGCCCAGGGACACCACTTAAGGGTTTCTACAAATAAAAGGATAATGCCTTCATCATTTTCTCTTTCCACTATTCTATACTTGTAATAGTACATGGGTCGCATAAGCCACAACCTAAGCAGGAGACCTCAGCTGAAAACTTTATAAGGACCCTTAGACGCTGTTAAAGTTGCAGGCTCCGAGTGAATGATTTTTTTTTTTTTTTAACCTCATGAATGATTCTTGAAAAGTGTGTGTGTGAGTGTGTGAGTGAAAGTGGGTGTGGCGGGAGTGAGGAGAGGGAGAAGGGGGGGAGAGAGAGAGAGAGAGAGAATCAACCTAAAAAAGCAAAATAAATATCCCAGGCTATCTGCTTCCTACTATCTCTCTTCTCCCCCTCACAGACAAACTTCTTGAAAGAAATGTCTACCCTTGACATGGCCATTTCATTTCCACTCATATCTCAAGCCTCTTTACTCAGCATCCCACTCCCATTCCTCCACCTAAACAGCACTCACTAAGGGAACACCTCTTAGATTCTTTTGAAGATCCAACATATTCTATTGGCCATTAAATGTTGGGAGTTTCTCAAAGCTATTTATTTTTTAACTCTCAACTTAGGCAATTATATACGTGCTCATAGTGTCAATTATCATCTAAATACCTCTGACCTGTCCCTGTAAGTGCCAGATCCGTATTATCAATGGCCTACTCAGTAACTCCACTTGAATTGCACAAAGACCCTTCAACTGTTAATAGTCTAAGAGCAAACTTACCAACTTACTGCCTACAGCACCCATCAACAACCTGGTCCTTACAAAGACCCACATATTCATTTTAGAGTTTTCCTAGGTATCTTCTTCTCAGTCACCCTCTGTGGCCACTCTATCACTAAGACCTAACAAACTTCTCCAGGGTGTCTTCTGTGTGCCAAGCACTAAGTGTTCCTATATATTAATGAACTCATTTAATCTTCATGGCAACCCCGTGCGGTAGATACTATTAGTCCCTTTTTTAAGGAGGAGCAAACTAAGACAGATAGAGTAACTTGTCTGAAATTGAGATTTGAAGCCAGGCAATCTGGCCCCAGCATCTGTCCTCTTTAAACAAAATGTCCTGTTTCCGATGATAAAGACCACTGACATTTATGTAGCACTTTCAGAAGACTTTAATTTTCTCCTCCTAACAACTATTATGAGAGGTTGGGCAGACAGTTCATAACATCATTTTATAAATGAAGAAACTGGGCCAGCATCAGAAACGGTCTTTATTACCAGCCACAGAATATTCTGCTGGGGAAGTTATTGAGACCACTGAACTCCTGGGTCTGTAGGTCAGTTTCCTGAAGTGGGAATCTGAGCTTCAGGAGATTAAATCACTGCCATCTCCTAGCCAAGAAATGCATTTTCCTTTGCAGCACAGAACGTACCATGGTGTATCTTGGGCACTAATACCTGACTCGTTTTCAAGACTTCAATATATTATAAGACATCATACCCTGAAACCACCTCCCACATTCCTCACATCATATCTGAGTCACATCGTATCAGAGTCATATCATTTCCTATCCAGCATGTTCCTTTCTTTTCCTAAGCCTCTAACCAGTCTCCACAGGTCTAATTTTAGACATTAAGTCTTTCTGGCCCAAAGCCACAGTTGATTGTGTGTTCTGTACAGTGAGTGCCTTGAGCAGTGAAAAAGTTCACAAATGCCACCGCCATTCAGGGACAACTGAATGGATATTAAGAGACATGTCCAAAAGGCCAGGTGAATAACACTAATATTTTCTTCCTCTGTCTTATCCACCGAAACAAAAGCCCTTACTAATGAAATTTAATTAGCAAAAATTTATTACAAAAATATTACCAAAAAATGTGGAAATGACCTAAATGTTAATGAAAAGAAACTGGTTAAACAAATTATGGAACAGTCACAGAACACATATGAAAATTATGTTACAAAAGAATGTTAAAAATGCATATCAAAACCACAGTGAGATACCACTTCACATCCATTAGAATGGCTATAATCATAAGGAAAATAAGTGTTGGCAAAGATGTAGAGAAATTGAACCCTCATACATTGCTGGTGGGAATATAAAATGGTACAGCCACTGGGGAAAACATAAAGTTACCATATGACCCAGCAATTCTACTCATAGTTACATACCCAAGAGAACTGAAAACACGTTCACATAAAAATCTATACATGAAAGTTCAAAGCAGAATTATTCGTTCCTAAGAGCCTTTAAAAAGTGAGAATCCAAATGTCCATCAATTAATAAATGGGTAGGGGTGCCTGGCTGGCTCAGTCGGTTAAGCGTCTGTCTTCGGCTCAGGTCCTGATCTCAGGCTCCCTGCTCGCGGGGAGTCAGCTTCCCCCCCGCCCCTCCCCCCACTCCCGCTCATGCTCTCTCAAATAAATAAAATCTTAAAAAAAATTAATAAATGGATAAGCAAAATGTGGCATAACCATACAATGGAATATTATTCAGCTCTAAAAAGTAATGAAGTACTAGTATATGCTACAACACAGATGAACTTTGAAAACAATACACTAAGTGAAAGAAGCCACATAAAGGGCCAGATACTGTATGATTACATTCGGGTGAAATAACCAGAATATGCAAATCCACAGAAACAGAAAGTAGTAATGGTTGTTAAGGGATGCAGGGAAGAGGGAATTGGGACTGACTGCTGATAACTACAGGACTTCTTTTGGGGGTGATGGGAATGTTCTATAATGAGATAGTGGTGATGGTTGTACAACACAGTGAATTTATGAAAACCACTGAATTATGTACTTTAAAATGGTGATTTTTTTATATGTGAATTATACCTCAATTTAAAAAATCATACAGCAGTACAGGCAACAGAATACACAATGATTCCACTGACAAGGGATCAGTATATTAAATGCAAAAATAAAATTTTAGGAACTTAACATTTTTTTTTAAGATTTTATTTATTTATTTGACAGAGACACAGCGAGAGAGGGAACACATGCAGGGGCAGTGGGAGAGGGAGAAGAAAGCTTCCTGCGGAGCAGGGAACCTGATGCGGGTTCAATCCCAGGACCCTGGGATCATGACCTGAGCCGAAGGCAGACGCTTAATGGCTGAGCTACCCAGGCGCCCCAGAACTTAACATATTCTAAAGAAGGCACTTCAAAACAGTGGAAAAATATTAAGTAGTGATGTGACAGTTAACACCGTGGAGAAAGAAATCAAATGAGATGCCTCGCTCATATTTTACATAAAAATATGTTACAGAATGTTTAAAGATTCAACTGCAAAAAATAAAATCATAAAAGTTTTATAAGAAAAAAAGAACACCAGATGTGAGAAAATGGTCATTATATAGTTCAACAAAACACACATAACCAAACACTGCAGTGTCATCTTATTTGGACAAAATACATATTTTAAGAATATGACATAGACATTTATATACAGTAGTAACTTAAAAAGCAAAGTAAAATAATACTTTCTACAGTGTGAACCCATAAGCCAAGAAGACTATACACCAACAGACTAAGAGTCTTTTCCCTCTGAGTGGAGGGATTGTGAATGATTTTTACTTTCCTCTGTTTGCTTAATTTTAATTTTTTCAACTTTCTACAGTTGGCCTGTATCTAATGTGTAAAATGAAAAGATAAAAGCTACTTGTAAAAATCTAATTACCTATTCTATTTATTCTATCCACTCTCATTTCCAACATCAACCCACACAGATGCCTCAGGCAACAAGAGTTCCCATTCCAATGACCACATATTTCCCATTCCCAACATTACCTGGAAAATGTCCATTAGAATCATAGCTGCCAGCAGCATGGTGACCATATCAAAATGTCCCATCTTCATTTTTCTCTTCTAAATTAAAATAAAGAAATTCCAATTTAGCAGGCTTAAAAAAGTAAGTTTAGGGAAGTAGAGCAGGATGACACAGTGTATGTATTTCATTCAGGGTGAGAGTAGATATCATGATGGTCAGGAAGTGATCATCAGTAAATTTCCAATGGCTGGATGGGCCATTAGATTCTGTCTGGTGGCTAACATCCTCATTCTACAGATAGGGAAACAAAAGCTCAGAAAACTTCAGAAATTTGTTCAAGACTGATTCTGTCCATTTCCATTCTCCTCCAGCCATGGTGTCTCTCCCATCATAGACAGTCATTGGTAGTCATATTTTCTTCCTATCTCTGAATTTCCCCTTAGCATACACAGGAAATAACACAAACTAAAAAACAATCACTTCAGACTGGTGGTGTCCTAGCTCCCAGTTTCCAAAAATTCCCCAGTAGTTATGGTCCATGCACATCATCCATTCTTTTATCCTCTTTGCAAACTAAGTCACACCCATCTGTGTAGGATGGAGGGAATGATGAGACCAGTAGTGGTACTAACTGGAGAGTTACCCAAGGGGGCCTCCTTCCCCCAAATATTCAGATTCAAGAGAAGCCCAAGGATAAAACAAGTGTCTTGCATAAATTTCTGATGGCAGGAATGAAAAGAAGAAAAATTAGGTAGGCAGGAATTCTAATAAGATTCCTTTGGCCAAATTCCTTTGGCCTAAGACTATTTGGCCAAATGCCCAATACTTGTCCCAATATTTAGGAGACTGAAAGGGGTAAACAGGAGGGTGAGAGGTCCTCAAGAGCTGAAGCTGTCCCCACAGCCATTAACTGATTCAATTAAAGGTTGGTTCTTTCCACATACCTGTAACAAAGCTGACTTTACTGGAACTGAACAGAGATCTCTACTTTATCCTACCAATCACCATATTCTGGCATCTGCAAATGGGAATGAACAGCATAGGGGAAAGGAGAGTTCTTTCTTTGGCCCCACATTCCCATCTTTACTCAGGAGCAGTTTCTTTCACTAGAGACTCTAAAATATACAACCAAATGCCACTTTTGTGTTAAACTTCACTTTCTAAAAAATATTTGAAATATAATACTCGACAGGTAACTGTCATGAGGCAGTATGTGCCAAGCAAGCTCTGAATCAGGGTTTTCTGAAAATTCTTTACTTCTGTAGCTGAGTGTAAATAAGTTAAAATGTTTACCTGGCTTCTCTGCCTGTGGAGAAGGTTTAACTGATGCTAGGTCTCAAACTGTTTCCCCACTCTCTCAGTTGTGGTAAGCGTGTCTTCAGGATGGGAGGTTGTTGACAGTGAGAGCCGAGAGGGAATGCTTTTCTTTTTATAAACACCCCCAGCAGTAGCTTGGCAGTGGCACCTCACCCCATTTGTGTTCTGCTATTTATATCTGGCCCCCACACTATCCTTTGGAATCACTGCTGTTAACACATGCAATCTCCAAGAGGCTTGCAAAGCCACAGCAATTCCCCCTAACCACAGAGCATGTTCAGTTCCAAGCCCTGCTGTAGGCTTCTCAGAGAGTGATCCCCTCTCATTCCTAACCCTTGTCAAACTAAAGCAAGGATTTTACCCGAACTAGATGGTTCATATAACCTAGGGAACTTGCTGTGTTAATCTCTGGCAATGATGATGGCCATCACCATTCACTCAAGCAGCTTACTATTTTTCAGGTAACTGTGCCAGCTGCTGGGATACACAAGCAAGTAAAACAAAGTACTAAAAAGCACCCACAATCTGATAAAACAAATTAATATTCATACTTAACCAAAATATATGTTGAAAATCCAAGTGAGTTTTAGAAGTCTAGTGAGAACACTAAGGGAAGGATTTGGTAATACTTGCGACTATAGTTCCATTTGAGTAAGGTACACAGAGCAAATATATAGACTGCAACGCTGAAGAACACTTAGTAGTTCGCTGACTATGGATAAAAAACTGAAATGTCCTAGGAAATTTATGCATATGTATCAAAATACATTAATATAATATATTAGATAATGCACAATATAGAACAGCCCCAAGCTGGAAACCATCCAAATGCCTAACAACAGTAGAATGGGTACATTGTTATATTCATACAATAGAATTTTGTATAGTACTGAAAATGAATAAACTCTAACCATATATAAGAAATGTAAATAAATCTTAAAATATTTTCAAGCAAAAGAAGAGACACGAATATGTATATACTGTATGATTTAACTTAGATAGGGAACAAAATCAAACAAAGCACATCTATAGCATTAGAGTCAGAATACTGGTTACTCTGAGTAGGAAATAACAACTGGAAGAGGAACAATGAGAGTATCTGGGATGCTGTTTAGGTTCTGGGTGTTGATTATATGGATATATTCAGGCGTGAAAATTCACCAAGCTATATACTTATGTGTATTTTCCTCTGAATGTGTGCATATGTACATATATTATTACTCAACTAAACATTTTAAATATTAAAATGCACCCATTTTTATAAAACCCACCTCTAATCTTCAGCCTTCAAAACCTCTAACTTCTTCCCACTGCACTAGTTAAGCTGTTTAAGATACAATTTAATACACTAAGTAGACTCCCAGCAATAGCATCATTAAAAAAAAAAAAAAAAGGTTTGATCAGAAAGAAAAAAGAGGGTTAGCACATGTTTTCAGGCTTTATGTTCACACTGACCTTCTTTTAAGTCTTAGGCATGTGAGCCTACAGGAGTGGGATTTTCCTGTCTTTGGTACTAAAGCCTACCAGATTTGTCTATATATCACACAAAAGACCAAGTCCACCAAAAAGCATGTAACAAACACTGCCTGAAGTTCAAGGCAACTCTGGCCTTGTTTATGCTCAATATGCTTTTGCTCCATTCCTGTTTTATAATTAACATACAAAACCTATTAGATTCAGGTACATGTTTGATATTGTGTATATTACAAAATGATCACCATAAGAAGTCTAGTTAACATGTCACCATATTTACAAATTTTTGTCTGTGCAATAATTTTTAAGACATACTCTCTTAATTTTCAAATATGCAATATGGTATTATTACTTACAATCACCATGTTGTACCTTATATCGCCATGACATTTATTTTATAACTGAAAATTTGTACCTTTCGACTCCCTTCACCCATTTCACCCACCCCTCCCAACTCCCAACTATGGCAACCACCAATCTGTTCTCTGTCTTGGTTTTTTTAGTTTTTGATTTTTAGATTCCACATATAAATGAGATAATATGATGTTTTTGTCTTTGACTTATTTCACTTTAGCATGCTGCTCTCAAGGTCCATCCATGTTCTCACACATGGATGTGATACGTTTTACTCTTTTTTATGGCTGATAATATTCCATTTATATATGTGTATATATGTGTGAGCATACAAACACACACCACATTTTCTTTATCCATTCATCCACTGATGGACACTTAAGGTTGTTTCCATATCTTGGCTATTGTAAATAATACTGTAATGACATGGGGGTGATGCATACCTTTTCAAGTTAGTGTTTTGTTTTCTTCATATAAATAAATACCCAAAGTGAAACTGCTGGATATGGCAGATCTATTTTTTCCATAGTGGCTGCTCCAATATATACTACCACAAACAGTGCACAAAGATCCCCTTTTCCACATCCTTGCCAACACTTGGTATTTCTCCCCTCGCAGTCCTACCCCTTCGTTCTTTTTGATAATAGCCTTTCTTCTAACAGATGTGATGTGATAGCCCACTGGGGTTTTCACTTGCATTTCCCTGATGAGTGACTTTGGAGATCTCTTTAATGTACCCACTGGCCTTCATCTGTTCATTTTTTAAATTGGATTGTTTAATTTTTTTTGCTATTGTCTGAGTTCTTCATATATTTTAGATACCAACCCCTTATCAGATATATGATTTGCAAATATTTTCTTCCACTCTGTAGGTTGCCTTTTCATTTTGTTACTGGTTTCCTTTGCTGTGCAGAAACTTTTTAGTTTGATATAGTCCCAATTGTTTATTTTTGCTTTTGTTGCCTTGCTTTTGGTGTCAAATCCAAAAATTACTGCCAAGATTGATGTCAAGGAACTTAATCTCTATATTTTCTTCCAGAGTTTTTATGGTTTCATGTCTTACATTCAAGTCTTTAATCCATTTTGAGTGAATTTTCGTATATGGCCTAAGAAAGTGGTCCAGTTTTCCCAACACCATTTATTAAAGAGATTGTCCTTTCCCCATTGTATATTCTTGGTGCCTTTTTTTTTTTTTTAAAGATTTTATTTGACAGAGAGAGAGTGAGCACAAGTAGGGGGAGCATCAGGCAGAGGGAGAGGGAGAAGCGGGCTCCCCGCTGAGCGGGGAGCCCGATGCAGGGTTGGATCCCAGGACCCCGGGATCGTGACTGGAGCTGAAGGCAGATGCTCAACGACTGAGCCACCCAGGTGCCCCCTTGGTGCCTTTTTCTAAATTAATTTACCATATATGTATGGGTTTATTTCTGGGATTTCTATTCTGTTCCACTTTTATAAAGATTTATCTATTCATTTGAGAGAGAGAGACAGCAAGTGAGAGAAAGAGCAGGGGGGAAGGTAGAGGAAGAGGGAGAAGCAGACTCCCTGCTGAGCAGGGTGCCAAAAGCGGGGCTCAATTCCAGGACCCCAGGATCATGACCTGAGCCAAAGGTGGTCACTTAAATGATGGAGCCAGTCAGGTGCCCCGGTTGTTTTTAAGTAGGCTCCATGCCCAGTGTGGAGCCCAATGTAGGACCTGAACTCATGACCCCGAGATCAAGACGAGCTGAGATCAAGAGCTGGATGCTCAACTGACTGAGCCACCTAGGTGCCCCTGTGTGTCTGTTTTATGTCAATACTGTAGTAGTTTGATTACCATAGTTTTATAATATAATCTGAAATCAGGAAGCCTGATGCTTTGTTCTTCTTTCTCAAGATTGCTGAGGTTATGCAGGGTCTTTTGTGGTTCTACACAAATTTTAAAACTGCTTGTTCTATTTCTGTGAAAAAATGCCACTGGAATTTTGACAAAGGTTGCATTAAATCTATAGATTGCTATGGGCGGTATGAACATTTTACCAATTTGAATTCTTCCAATCCATGAGCATGGAATATTGTTCCATTTATTTATGTCTCCTTATATTTCTTTCAATCAATGTCATACTTCTCAGTACATAAGTCTTTCTCCTCCTTGATTATATTCCTAGGTCTCTGCTCATTTTAATGCAACTGAAAATGGGGTTATTTTCTTAATTTCTTTTTTTTTAAGATTTATTTCAGAGAGAGAGAGCATGCATGCAAGTGGGGGGGAGGGAAAGAGGGAGAGGAGAGAGAGAGAATCACAAACAGACTCCCCACTGAGTCCGGAGCCCAATGTGGGGCTTGATCTCACAACGCTGAGATCATGCCCAGAGCCAAAATCAAGAGTTGGGACACTTAACCAACTGAGCCACCAGGTGCCCCCTTAATTTTTCTGATAGTTTGTTATTGGTGTATAGAAATACAACATATATGCCATGGACAGAGACACACAGGACAGAAGGCTATGTAAAGATATGGGCAGAGATTGGTGTGATACATTTACAAGCCAAGGGACACCAAGGATTGCTGGAAACCACCAGGTGCTAGCTAAGAAGCATGGAACAGATTCTCCTTGGGCCTCCAGTGGAAACCAACCCCGCTGATACCTTGATTTTGAACTTGCAGTCTCTAGCACCAACTGTCAGAGAATAAATTTGTTGTTTTTAAAAAAAAAAAAAAAAAAAAAATAAAACATTTTTCTCTGTATTTTGACTTTGAAAGACTTTTTTTTTTTTTTTTTTAAGAGAGAGAGAGAGCTCAAAACGGGGAGGGGCACAGGGAGAGGGAGAGAAATCCTCGAGCAGACTCCCCTCTGGGCACAGACGCCAACTTGGGGCTCAATCCCAGGACCCTGAGATCATGACCTGAGCCGAAATCAAGAGCTGGACACTTAACCAACCAAGCCACCCAGGCAACTCTCTGTATATTGACTCTGTATCCTGCAATTTTACTGAATTTACTAGTTCTAATGGTTTTTTTGGTGCAATCTTTAAGGTTTTCTATATATAAAATGCCATGTCATCTGCAGAGTGATAATTTTCCTTCTTTATCTCCAATTTGGATGGCTTTTATCTTTTTCTTGCCCAATTGCTGTGACTATGACTTCAACATTATGTTCAATAAAAGTGGCAATAGCGGGCATCATTGGGGCTCCTGGGTGGCTCAGTTGGTTGAGTCTGACTCTTAGTTTCAGCTCAGGTCATGATCTCAGGGTCCTGGAATCAAGCCTTGCATTGGGCTCTG